TGCATTTGAGGCTTCTCCATAGGTGTTCACCCATGTCACCTGCTCAGCTCTGTGTGTGCTGCTCTTGCACAGCACAGACCGTCCACATGAGGACAGCTGGTTTCACGCGTCCACATTTCTGCCATGAGTATTCCTCTGCTCTTCTTGTTCCTTCTGCCCTCCACCCATCCTCTCCCCCGCCACCTTACCCATCCTTTTCAACATCACTCGGTGCCCATCTTATTCACGGTGTCTTTCCCAAGGCTCTGCCCCACATTCATCCCGTTCTTCTTGATTTGAATACCTTTTATGTAGGAGCACTAGCTTTGTATTTCATTATACAGTTTCTATCAATCCAAAGCTCCTTATCTCTAATGCTAAATCCAACAAGTTTGGAAAACTGAAAGCTTTCTAATAGTCTTGGCACAAAACTCAAGCAAAACCTCCCTGAGTAGATATGAGCTGTTTTTTAAAAATGTATCCCATTTGGCCAGGCACAGGGGCTCATGCCTGTAATCCCAGCACTTTAGGAGACTGGGGCAGAAGGATCATGAGTCCAAGAGCTCAAGACCAGCCTGGGCGACATGACAAGACCTGGTCTCTTCTGAAAATACAGAAAAATCAGCCAGTCATGGTGGCCCATGCCTGTAGTCTCAGCCACTCGGGAGGTTGAGGTGGGAGGATTGCTTGAGCTTAGGAGGCTGAGGTTGCAGTGAGCCGAGATTGTGCTACTGTACTGCAGCCTGGGCAGCAGAGCATGACCCTGCCTGAAAAAAAAAAAAAAAAAGAAAGTATCCCATATGACTGTTCATATGTTCTGCTGCAGAAATATTTGTGTATCTGGTTGTGGGGTAATTGGACAGAATGGAAAGTGAACAGACCTCATCAATTTGCTTTTTGGAGCTGCCACATTTCTTTAGTATTGTCCTTCTCAAACTGGGGTATGTTATCTCTGAGAGTGTGGAGGGATTATAGAAAGTTACAGCATACATATGCATGATTGCCAGGAAGGTCAAATTTATTAGATGATTTGAGGGGGGAAATGAAATAATAAAATATGTATCATGGCACAAAATACAAAATTTCCATGCATTGAAAAGATAAAATATGAGATTTCAAAGAAATTTAGGTACTGTGGGAGGTGGGGAGAAATGTATCCTCATTATCTGCCTCAGCTAGAGGAGTTAAAGCACTGCTCTCATACAGACAGAATTCTGACAGTTTGGGTTGTTGTATTTCTGAGTAGCGGGATGTAAGATTTTGTACTTGCAGAGTTCTCCAGGACCACACAAGATGGCAAAATCTTCTGAGACAGTGTCTGTGTTGAAGAAGGAATAACAGTAGTGCATCATCAGTCAGACTGACTCAAGGAAGAAAGAAGCATAAACATTAAGGCCACAAAGGATTACTTAGAAAAATCACTGTGTCATCGGTGAAACCCCGTCTCTACCAAAAATACAAAAATTAGCTGGGCCTGGTGGCATGCGCCTGTAGTCCCAGCTGCTTGGGAGGCTGAGGCAGGAGAATTGTTTGAACCTGGGAGGCGGAGGTTGTAGTGAGCCGAGATCGCGCCACTGCACTCCAGCCTGGGTTACAGAGCGAGACTCCATCTCAATTAAAAAAAAAAAAAAAAGAAAAATCACTGTCGTGAGGAGAATCGGCTTGACAACACAGGCCAATTAGGATGGTTTTCAAAGTTGTGTCTTAGGTGAAATAAGCCAGTCATAAAAACACAAATACTGCATGATTCCATTTACATGAAGTAGTCAGACCTGTATAGACAGAAAGTAGAATGGTGGGTACAAGGTCCTGGGAGAAAGGAAATGGGGAGTTATTGTTTAAAGAGTATAGAGTTCCAGTTTTGCAAGAGGAAAAAGTTCTGGAGATCTGTTTTACAACATTGTGATTATACTTAATACCACCCAACTGTACACTTCAAAATAATGAAGATGGTAAAGTATATGTTATGTGTTTCTTACCACAATCCAAAAAGAAGTTGTGTCTTAAGGTAGCCTGTAAACATCTCATTACTTTTTGTTTGTTTGAATTAAGCTTTATTACAAGTGTTCTCTCTCATCAGGTTTTGCATGGATATGTTATTTTGCTGTGTTCTGTTTTGTTTTTTAGTAGGCAAGAAATAATGGCAGCAGCTACGGGGGATCCTGGACTCTCTAAACTGCAGTTTGCCCCCTTTAGCAGTGCCTTGGATGTTGGGTTCTGGCATGAGTTGACCCAGAAGAAGCTGAATGAGTATCGGCTAGATGAAGCTCCCAAGGACATTAAGGGTTATTACTACAATGGTAGGTGATTGTAAATTTCATTTTCCATTGTCTTCTGTTATCCTCTCTGTCCTCCAGTATAGTGTCAGCTTTCCTTTAGAAAGAGACAGCCTTGTCTTTTGTAATCAGTGCTCTTCACTAGTTTCTATTTTACTTCCTGACTTTTTGATCTCAGTTCATTTTCATTTATTTTCTCTTGTTGTGGGGAAAAAGAAAGAGAGTAGTGAAACTCAAATTAATCCAAATAATACCCATTACTTAGCATTGCTGGGGGAAGAGATTGGAAATATTTTTTTCCATTGAGTCTTTTTTATATTCTTGGCAAATGTCTCATATTCACAAGAGCTCTGTCACATTCTGCTATTATCTATCCATACATATATTATCTATGTAGCATAGATAATCAGAAATTGGATGGGGCGTCTTGGGCTCAACAAAGAAAAGAAAACTATTCATAAGCATTTTTGTTATGAATGCTGCTATTTCTGACTTGTCATTGAAAATGTGATAATGCTTCTGTCCAGGTGACTCTGCTGGGCTGCCAGCTCGCTTAACATTGGAGTTCAGTGCTTTTGACATGTGAGTATTTATTTGTTCAAAATCTGAAGTAAAGAACACTACTTTTGGCAAGGAATGAGCATGCTTACCTCCCTCATATGTGGACCATAGGAGGACTAGGGAAGCTCCTGGTGAGCAGAGTCAGCCCCCTTGTGATTCTTTTATACCTCCCATAGAGGTGAATGCTAGATGCTTAGGTCTGTCTGGTTCATTTTTCACCACGTATATCAGAGCCAATTAGGTGCCAGATGCCTTCTAGATTGATTGAGACATAGATAATATCCCTCTTGATTTTGATTGTAGTTAATATTTTGTGATCTTTTCTTGATACCTCTCTCGATTCCTTTAGTTGCTTGTCTATGGGCATTGATCAATGAATGTTTATTAGGCTACTTCTGTATACAAGCCACTGTGCAAGGCATTATGGTGCTATGTAAAGGAATATGATAGATATATCCTTGAAGAATTTTTTTTATCTGCTTGGGAGCTATGGGGAGTTGCTGGAGAGAAGAGACACTTTTTTTTTTTTTTTTTTTTGAGACGGGGTCTCACTCTGTCACCCAGGCTGGAATGCAGTGGCACAATCTCAGCCCACTGCAACCTCTGCCTTCTGAGTTCAAGCTATTCTTGTGCCTCAACCCTCCCAAGCAGCTGGGATTACAAGCACGTGCCATCATGCCTGGCTAATTTTTTTTTTTTTTTGGTAGAGACAGTGTTTCACCATATTTGCCAGGCTGATCTCGAACTCCTGACTTCAAGTGATCTGCCTGCCTTGGCCTCTGAAAGTGCTGGGATTACAGGATCGAGCCACCACACCCAGCCAAGAGACACATTTATTGAGCACTTAATTAGGCAGTTTCATAAACATCTGTTCTTTCAGACTTGCCAGGTGTGATTTTTCTCTTTTTCAGATGAGGAAACCATGGGACGAATGGTAAAAATGGCTTGCCCAGGGTCACACCTAGCCAAATTTAGAAAGCAGGGGTGAGAGAAAAAAATGTATTTACAAATGTATTTCTGAAACCCAGTATGAGTAGCTACAGGGATTTTGCTATCTCTACAGGAATAGAGAAACCAGGAGGGGGATACAAATTTAGGAGGAGACAAGTTTGGTTTAGAATATGTTGAGTTTGAGATGACAGTATCTACTAGAAATGTCCAGGAGGAACTGGAGTTGGGGAGAGAGGATCAGACTAGATTTGGGAGACATCCAGGTAGAGGAGAAAGAGAATAAAGATAGTCTCCAACTTATGGTGGTTTAATGACTTTTTGACTTTATGATGGTGAGAAAGCGATACACATTCAGTGGAAATTATACTTTGTGGACCCATACAGCCATTCTGTTTTTTCACTTTCAGTACAGTATTCAATAAATTACCTGAGATATTCAACACTTTATTATGAAACAGTCTTTGTGTTAAGATGATTTTGCCCAGCTGTAGGCTAATGTAAGTGTTCTGGGCACGTTTAAGAGAGGCTAGACTAAGCTATGTCTGGCAGGTTAGGCGTATTAAATAGAGTTTTTATTTATGATTTTTTTTCAATTTATGGTGAGTTTATCAGGACATGGTAAGTCAAGGAGGATCTGTATAGTATAAGAACAAAAGGTGCAAACAGTGAATGGCTCTGATTAGGGAGGCGAAAGATGATACAGATCTAGCGAAGGACACAGGGGTTGTCAGAGGAAAACCAGAAAAGTGTTACAGAAACCGAAGAAGGAAATGCTTTCTGGAGGGAGAGAGAAACTAACAGTGTCAGAAGCACAGGGGTTAATGCGAGGGCTGTTGTGTTTATTGATTAAGTCATTGCGATCCTTGAGAATTCAGTTTGAGAAAGAGGATGGAGCTGAAACCATGATGAGGGCCTTTAAGATTATTGAGAATTGAAAAAAGCTACAGTGGTTTTTCTGCCTTATTGTACCTTAGCAATATCAAGATGGGGAATTTTAGGAAGGTGAAGAAGTCTTTATAAGGTCTTTCTGGCTTTTGAAAGTGGCAATAGTCAAATATTAGGATATTTAAAATAAAGTGTCCCTAGAATTTTTTTTAATCTCAGAAAATCAATACTTTTTTCCCCCCTTTATCTCAATTCAGTTGCAAAATTTGAAAGTATGACGTACATCCACAATGAGGTTAGTATTTGTATCTTTAAAAATGTATGTGTTGGTGTTTCTCGTTCCCTTTGGAGCTTTCTTGCTCCATTGTAAATTCCTTGTGGTTACCTGTCAAAAGAAATAAAATCCTAATAATCTCTGTCTTGTTTCGGCAAACTAACTTATTTTGGAGCCATTAAGATATAACGAGGAAAATATTGGAAATGTACAAGCATTAAGTTGTCTGAAGATGGTACGGGGGAGCATCAGTAGTCTGTTTTGTATAATCTGGAGAGCCTCATATTTATCTCAGACTAACCTCACTCCTATCTTATCCTTCTACTGGACTGCAGTTTTGTTTGTTTTATAATGTTTTAATGATTTTAGTCTTTAGAACAATTAATTAGAAAAACACAGTTCACAGAAGTTAAGTTTGAACTTATTACAAAATGTAAGCATCTTAAACTTCATTAATCTAAAAATTTTGGTTAAAGGAGATAAGAAAATCTGTGATCCTGCAAGCTATAACTTTCACACAAATAGCTCATTTTCACTCATCATATTTTTTCTTTAACCATTGAATACCCTCAGTGTGCGAGGCACTGTGGTAGACAGTGGGAGGTGAGTGGAAATAAGATAGAGTCCCCATTGTGTGAAAATAGCCCTGGATTTGAAGTTTGAAGATTTGGAGTCTATGGCTAATTAACTGTGCTACTTCAATAAGCCCTTTTAGTTTTCTCAGCTTTTGTTTCCTCATCTTTAAAATGGATTCTTGCTTTCTAATGTTCTCTCCAGTTTTAAAAGTCTGTCACTTTCTGAGTCCCTATTAGGATGGCTGGGAAGTTTAGTGAAAATGCTTAGGACATCTCAGAAGGCCTGATTTCTTTATTCCAAATTATTTCCTTTATTATTACCCCATCTTTGTTTTGATTGCTGTGTATCTGCATGGGTTGGTAGAGAAAGTCTTCATGAATTTTTTTATCAAAGAAGGAATATCTACAATGTGCAGATGTGTAGGTGTTAGGAATACAAAGACTTATGAAATATGTTCTCCAGAGCTCCTCTACTATATGAGAGAGAGAAGTAAAAGGCAAATATTTGCATTGTAGTGTGCTCAGTGCTGTAATAAGCATGGAGAGGTAATCATTATTTCCGGAAAACTTATTGATTGCTTCCTCTGTGTCTTGATAATAAAATGTGCTAGGTGCTGGGCATACAGACAGGAATGACATACAGTTGAATAGCTGACAATCCCAGTACTCACTTGCAGATGTCAAGAGTATCTCAGCTTTGCATAGCACTGGATAAATCCCTTCTACTCTGTGCCCCTGGGAGTCTTATGGATCTCTGCAGGCAGCAGCACAAGGATCCTGTTCTCTGAATTGTATTAGATGAATTGTCAGTTGAGTAGTATTTTATCAGGCACCAACTGTCTTAAACTGGAGGATGCTGTCTTGAGTTAGGGTATCCTGCTTAATCAGACACAAAAATCTAAGGGTCCAAACACAAAGGAAGTTCATTTCTTGCTCATAGAATAGCCCAGGGCTGGTCTAGTCTTCTTCCCTGTTGTGGCTCCATTATCCCTGAGGACTTTGCATTTGTGTGCTGATTAAGACAATTGTCACTTTCAGGTAACAACAGATTAATGAGGAAAGACAGCCAAGGTGCAAAAAGGTGGAAGAGACATACCTGGTCTTTTAAAGGCCCTGGAGGGAAGGGAGATGCATCACTCCACTCAGATTCTACTGAGGAGAACTCGTGGCCTTACCTGTCTAGCAAAGAAGACTGGGAAGCATGGAACCCAGCTAAAACGTTATGTGTGCTTTCTATTTCTATTGACAAGGAGGAAAGTAGATTTTGATTGACAATCTCTATACCAATGTGAAGCTGATAAAGAATGTTCCACCGGGTGCGGTGGCTCACGCCTGTAATCCCAGCACTTTGGGAGGCCGAGGTGGGCGGATCACAAGGTCAGGAGATCGAGACCATCCTGGTTAACACAGTGAAACCCCGTCACTACTAAAAATACAAAAAAAAATTAGCCGGGCATGGTGGCGGGCGCCGGCAGTCCCAGCTACTTGGGAGACTGAGGCAGAAGAAAGGCGTGAACCCAGGATGCGGAGCTTTCAGTGAGCTGAGATTGCGCCACTGCACTCCAGCCTGGGCGACAGAGTGAGACTCCGTCTCAAAAAAAAAAAAAGATAGATAAAAAAAGAAAAAAAAAATTTTTCTTTTCTAAACCTCAAGTTGGACCTAATTAGAGAAATAGAAGGCATAATTCTTGCCCTCAAAGAACTGAAAAGGTAGTGAAGGAAGTAGGAGTCTTACGCACACTCATATCTGTGGGGCACAGACTATGTCTTTCTTATTCTCTGCTGTATCACCAGCACCCAACACAGATCTGGGGTGCACTATTTGCTCAATAACTGTCTAATTGAATTACAATCGGTCTAAGCGCATGGCTGTCAAAAGGATATGTGGTGTGGTTCATAGAAAGACACTAGTGGACTGTGTTAGAGGATGTTACAAACAGAAACTCTGCGATCGCTAGGGAAGTCAGGAGACGACAAAGAAGCATGACCCCAAACTGACTGTGGCTTTCTGGGTTCCAAACATTCCCTGTGGGCATGTGAAGCTGTGTGTGAAGTAGATTCCTCCAGGTATGAAGAGCACAGATGCTCTTCCAGAGGATTTATTCCGTTCTGACCACCTGCCTGCCTGTTGGCCAAGTGTAAATAACTGGTGCAACACAGCCCCAGCACTTTCCCGAGTCACCACTGCGAGACTGAATGAAGTGAAGGCCAAGTGTCTAGCTGTGATGTCCCCAAAGCAGGTCCAGTCTTCCGGCCTTTGTGAGATCCATTTTTACTAGGTTAGTATATGCATTATTGCAAGTTCACTGTTGGCCTTAGTATGTGGAGAAAATTTCTAATTCGGATTCTTTTTAGCAGCTATGTTGAGATATAATTCATATACCATAAAATTCACCCTTTTAAACTGTACAATTCAGTGGTTTTTAGTAGATTCATAGAGTTGTGCAACCATCACGACTAATTCCAGAACATTTGCATCTCCCAGAAAAGACACCCTTAGCAGTTACTCCCCATCCCCGCTCCTGCATAGTCACCAGCCCTAGCCAACCATAACTTTACTTTCTGTCTCTGAGGATTTGCCTATTCTGCATATTTCATGTAAGTGGAACCATAAGAAACTAAACTAGTAAGGGTCAGAACCAAGATTTGAACTAAATTCTCTTATCTCCAAGTTTCAGGCTCCTTCTCTCTCATTATCACTTTTTAAATTCATTTTCCTGCCACCTCTCATGGTAGAACTTTAGTCATGAAAGATGCCTCTCTGAAGCTCCCGATTGTCCTGGCTAATTAACTTGCATAAATGCTGATGCTACTAGGAGCCTAGCCATCTTGCAGTTGCTTGAGCTCTTGGTATGTAGTTTTCTCCTTTCACAGAGTGAGGCTTTGGTATGGCTCTTACACACCTGGGAAGTTTGGGAAGAAGGGCACCTTCCTCCTCTGTACTTGTGTCCAAATTAGATCATAGCGTGCTTGCTTCTGTTTCCACATCCTGTTTCAGCAGTAATTTCATAAAGCCAAGTCTGAATGTAGAAGGCCTAGTTTACCAACTGCTCTGCTTTCTTTGCCTTTCCTCTGGGCTTAATCTTTTCCCTTTGTGATTTCTGTCTCTTCAAGACCAGCTTAGATGTCCTCATCTCACCTGGATGAAAAATATTCTTTTATTGGAGGAGCATGGTGACACACAACTTGTGATTTGCTGACTCATAGCTTCCAAGAGAAGGCTGTGGCCATTGAAAGCTAGCTTTCCCTGAGGACTTGTTGTTTGAGCCTGATAGATGGCATTTGACAGAGCCATGTCATTAATTGTACCCCTTCATACCTGTTCTAGGTTTAGATTTCTACTTCAGCCCCATAAACCCAATTTTACATGGACTCTAAATGAAAAGACACAGGTTCTTTTAAACTATGCAGCTATCATCAGTGCAGTCAGTAAAAAGGCATTCTGTCTGCATTAACTGTGACAATAGTAGGCTACTAATGAAATGAATATTTTCATTTAACATTTGTAAACTCTGAAATGCAAGTTAATCATTTCAGAGAAGAGACCAGATTTGTCCACATGTGAATTCATATTCAGAATCAACTCCTCTTCTCTTCTCCTGACTTTGCTTACTCTGAGGACTGTGAGGCCTTTGGGGGCAATGTAGAGTGTGTGAACCTGGTGGCATGACAGATTGATAGGTAGCCCAGGTGTGAGACATTTTGTCTGTGAGACTCAGACAACCATCAGGGGCTTGCCCAGCAGCAGTTTTGTGCAGAGCCCTGTTTGGGGCAGGCTAGGTTGTGGGACAGTTAGGAGAACACGTACTTTCTATCCTCAGGGAGCTTACTGTCCTCCAGCTGGGAGGGTATGACTGTAGTTCTTGAAAATGCTCAAAAATATTACGCTGAGTTTTATGTGCCAACTCTTAGCAGAGAAAGTGGAGATAGCTTTCCAGAAGACGAGAGATTAGAGCAGGACCTTGAAGCCTGGGAGGGTCTGAGAGGTGGCGTAGGCACAGCACAGTACCTTGGGCTCAGCTAGTTCTGGTTTTAGATTCAAGCTCTGCCTATTATGTGACCTTAGGCAAGTTGCTTAAACCTTTAAATGGGGAAAAGAGCCGTTATAAGAATTCAAACTGTGCACAGTTCCTGGCTCAACAAACAATATTTCCCTCAGGTTAAAGATGGAAAGAAGAAAAAAAAGGAAATGAACTTCTCTTTGGGGGACAGTGGAAGAACAGCATCCTGATAGGTTAGAGTACAGGGAATATATGGGTTTTCCCTGTACAGTTGCTTGTTTTTTAGTTCTTGAGTGATGATATTCATCTTTTCCAAGAAAACGTACAGTTAATCTTCTGTTTGCCCTACAGAGCAACACCCTTTTTCTCCCACTACAGTGGTGGTTGACTTGTCTCTCTCTGGCTCTCTGAGTCCCAGCTGTGCCTAGCTAACCATGTTTCTCTTGTATCTAGGAGTGCTCCCACCCCAGCCCGTTGCTGCCCAGCTGTTGGAACACTGTATAACACCAACACACTCGAGTCTTTCAAGACTGCAGATAAGAAGCTCCTTTTGGAACAAGCAGCAAATGAGGTTAGCTGGGAAAACGTGATGTATGTGTCATATTTCCTGTGGTCCTGGCAGGTGCAGTGTTTGTGATCAGGCACATGGGTCTGCTGCAGAAACTGGCATATGATAGGAACTTGAAGACACTTGTGGGCTTGGGCGTATTTCCCAAGAGAGAATACTCCAGCTGTCTCCTTCTGTATTGGCAGGAAGGTCAGGGAGAGGACATCCAGGCTCTCACCTGGGATAGGCTGGAAATAACATGGCAGGGCAGAGGTTAAGTCATCAGTTTGCTGCTCATCTCCAGCCAGCATTTGGAAGCAGCCAGACCTCGGAGAGTTGTGTTCCTGTGGCTGAATGCCTCTGGGCACTCTGTTTATTGTGCCTTGGAGAGGCTTGTCAATCCTGTGCACCATGCGGTAGAGGAGATTATCACGTAGTCTCTCCAGTGTCTTCACTTATCTAATCTACTGCATCTGATTTTCAAGGCCTCTGTGGCCTGGCCCTGTTTTTCTCTTGTCCTTTCTAAGCTCTCACTCTTGCCCTTGCATTCTCTGAGTCTGTCATAGCAAATCACATGTAATTCCCTCCACCTACTTTCTGTTCTGTCCTCTCTCCTTGGGAACACAATATCTTCTCTGCCTGGAATGTCTTTCCTTTGCTTCTTTACATTGGAGTTAGTGAGAGGAATTAAAATGGGAGGCGGGGGCAGTTCATCCCAGTCCTGTCTAACTGCTTTAATCAAGGAGTCTTTATACCAGTCTTGATTACAACATGAATCTTGTTGGTGTGGGTGCAGTGGTCAGGTCCTGAGGCAGGCTTCGCTCACATCCCTTGGGATGGATGCAGCTGTGACTCAGGAGAGGATGGTCGTTTTTCTTGACCTGTGGCTTGGCTGCTCCTGGGCCTCCTGCTTTGGCTGCACATTTAAAAGGGAGTCTCCAAAGAGTTGGGTCAGGCCTTCATCATCTTGGAAAAAAGCAGGTTCCCCACCCCCACAGGAATATCTCACCCCTCAACTGGGGCCCAGAATTCTCCTGGCAGCTCCTGCCCCATGCTCCCTCGGCTTACCAGAAATTGGGAGCCTCTCTTCAGTGGTCCAGCTCCTCCAAGGCCAGTATGTCAGTAGCAGGAACTTACCTCTGCTTACTTATTTCCCTCTTCCACCCATACTTAGGGAGTGATTCTTATTAGTGCAACTGTTTGGTCTTGCTTAGTAACACCAAGTTTAGCTACGAATCTTAGCTACAAAAACATCTTGTGATCCACAGCTGCTGACCAGCACCAGCGTTTGCTCCTAGTTTCAGTACTTGCTGAGTATACATAAATATGAAGTTTGCTCTTCTTTCTTCATCTCTCAGGGCAAGATAATCTCAAACAAGGCTTCAAGAAACCCCTATGTGTATTTTACAGTACTTCCTTTGAGAGCCCCTCCCAGGCTCTTCACCCTCCCAGTTCCCCAGCTGAGTCTGCAGAGAATTCCTCCCATAAATTCTACCCACTTCTGTGACAGCAAATCCTACAAGCGGTGAAGTTATACGTTTATGCCGGTCTCTCTCTCTAGACTGCGAGTGTCTTGAGGGTAGGGACTGACCGTGTCTTTTATTTCTGTAACCCTGATGTGCCTGGTATATAGTAGACAATAAATAAATATTTGCTGAAGGAGATTGTGAAGACATGAAAATGGCCTGGTTGCCTCCTCTGTGCTGAGATCTGCTGAGAGGAGGCGCCTGGGCTCCCTCACTTGGCTTAGATGTTGAAGGGAGTGTGGCTGGGAGAGAGGCAGTGTGAAGTGGGCAGAGTGAGGTAACAACCCACTTCATTGTATGGGATAAGTGGTGCTGGGCCTGCAGGAAAGAAGAACCTGGTGCTTTTCAGCTCCACACTTCGCCTGGGAGTGAGAAGCTCAGAGATGCCTGGTAACCTGCCTTGACGCTTTTCTTCTTTTGGCAGATATGGGAATCCATAAAATCAGGCGCTGCTCTTGAAAATCCTGTACTCCTCAACAAGTTCCTCCTCTTGACATTTGCAGTAAGTAAATGGGCTCTCGGTTGCACCGAGGCTGGTGAGATCCCCTGGCTCAGCCCAGTGTACCCGCAGAACAGTGTGCTCTTCTCTCTGAAGCTACTACCTTCTGTTATTTGAATAATAGCTGTTAACGAAATGCTCATTTCATTAGTGGCCAGATAGTGCTGGCACCTATTACCGATGCTAACTTAATTCACCCCTATGGATCATACTGGCAGTAATTGCATAGTTTATATAAAACAGGGCATCATACAGTCAGGTTCAGGGAATGTTGTTTCATTGTTGCTAACGCCTTTGTTAAATACCGTCCTACAGAGGTCCATTGAAATAAAGGGAAGGGGCTTCTGGATTAGAGGAGATCACACTGCATAGCTTGACCACAAAATTGCTTGTTGATTTTTCGTTTTTTGTTTTTTTAAAGTCAGAAAAATGTTTTCTGTAAGCGAAATCTAATTAAAATGAACATTGAGGGTAGCCTTGAAAAGGAAATCGTATTAGGGTAACATGTGCTACCCAGTGAAGAAGGGGTAGAATGTAGATGGAAGGACCTGGCCTTGGTGAGGGAAAAGTAGGGAAAAGGTAAGAGTTGGTTATAGAGATACCAGCTGTGCAAACACACAGATACCAGCTATACACACATGCAAGTGCACACACACAGCACACAGATATGTATATATATATCTGTGTATATAAAACTAGTTTATATCCTTTATTATTATATTGACTATATAACATTCTGTCAAATGTATGTTCCATAGATTCCTGTTATATATTCAGGTGGTTTCTAATATTCACTATTATTAAAAATGCTAGTCTGCGCACAGTGGCTCATGCTTGTAATACCAGCACTTTGGGAGGCTGAGGCAGGTGGATCACTTGAGGCCAAGAGTTTGAGACCAGCCTGGGCAACACCTTGTCACTACAAAAAATACAAAAATTAGCCAGGTGTGGTGGCACCTGCCTGTGGTTCCAGCTACTGGGGAGCTGAGGTGGGAGGATCATCTGAGCCTGAGAGATTGAGGCTGCAGCGAGCCATGATTGCACCACTGCACTCCAGCCTGGAAAACAGAGTGAGACCCTGTCTCAAACAAAAAAAATACTGTGGCATATTGAAAAATATATAATATTAGCCATATTGGTCTTTTTTCCTGCTCATTTTACTTCTTTAAAATAAGTTCTTTGGAGCGGGCGTATAAACACTGTAATGTTGCTGTGGATTAAGTATGCTGTTTCACCACAGTGTCATCAGCTTTGGATATTAATCCTCTTTCCTACTTTTTATTTTTTGCCAAGTTCTTCCCCGACCTCCCACCATTCCTCCTGGATTCCTAGATGTAGGGGAGGCCTCTGATTTATTGCCCAAGGCAAAAGAGGGTATGATAGCAATCAAACAAGGCCAGTGTGTGGCTATCTACAAGGAACACATTTTCTAACAGTTACAATACTTTCTATGTAATAGTGGGGGAGAGAGAAAAATGTTTAAATTTTTTTAAATTTTTTGAAAATAGGGATAGATTTTGAAATACCCCTTTTTTTTTTTTTTTTTTTTTTTTTTTTTTTTTGAGACGGAATCTCACTCTGTCTCCCAGGCTGGAGTGCAGTGGTGCGATCTCAGCTTACTGCAAGCTCCGCCTCCCGGGTTCACCCCATTCTCCTGCCTCAGCCTCTCGAGTAGCTGGGACTACAGGCCCACGCCACCACACCCGGCTAATTTTTTATATTTTTAGTAGAGACAGGGTTTCACCGTGTTAGCCAGGATGGTCTTGATCTCCTGACCTTGTGATCCGCCTGCCTCGGCCTCCCAAAGTGCTGGGATTACAGGCATGAGCCACCACGCCTGGCCTGTAGGTTCTTTACTGGGGTAAATTGTAAGTATTGCTAGTTAAAGATTTCTAGTTACTTGAACGTCAGCACGCTTTCTTTACCAAGAATTCTCATTAGTAGAACATGCTGACAGTTTGCATTTAATGAGAAAAATAACATTAGCTCTTACTTAAAGTTTTAAGGTTTGCTAGAGTCAGTATGTGTGTTGGTCTTGTTGCCTTGTTTACTGAGCATTATTAGCCTGGCTTAAAACAAAATTGTAAGTATCTATTTTTTAAAATCTTCAGACACTAAGGACTTTATGTTTAATTTAATGGAGGTCCTTTGTATCCTGAAAAGAATCCTAAGAAATGCAAGCCTTTTGGCTTTTGAAGATGACCTGATAAAGTTTCTTAGAATTTGTGAGGTCCGGCTGGGTGCGGTGGCTCATGCCTGTAATCCTAGCACTTTGGGAGGCCAAGGTGGGCAGATTGCCTGAGCTCAGGAGTTCTAGACCAGCCTGGGCAACATAGTGAAACCCCGTATCTACTAAAATTAAAAAAAAATTAGCTGGGTGTGGCGGCCAGCTAGTCGAGAGGCTGAGGCAAGAGAATTGCTTGAACCCGGGAGGTGGAGGTTGCAGTGAGCCGAGATCGTGCAACTGCACTCCAGCCTGTGTGACAGAGCAAGACTCCATCTCCAAAAAAAAAAAAAAAAAAGAATTTGTGAGGTTCTTCATCTTGAATTGTTTAACCTTTTACTAAAGATCAGTTATGACAAATCATTTAAGTACAAAGAAGAGAAAATAATCTCTGGAGGTGTTTTTGCTTTACTTCTGCTGTTTTTAGGACTCATAGGACTAGACAGTTCATTAATTTCAGTTTTGCAGTTCATTTTGCCATTGTGAAGAGGGAATTTGTTCTTAGTTGATCAGTGAATAGCAGAATTAGAGACCGCAGAATTAGAGAATTATAATGGTAGTTATAAAGTCTAATAACTACCATTATTAGACTTTCTCATCTGTACACATGTTTACATATACATTTACATTTTAAAAGTCATCTAGTATGATTTCATTTATATGAAAAGTCCACACTAGGCAAATCCATAGAGACAGAAAATAGATTAGTGGTTGCCAGGGGATGAGAGGAGGGGGAATGGGGAGTCTCTGCTAATATGTATGAGATTTCTTTTTGATGTGATGAAAATATTCTGGATGATACAACCATATCACTATACTAAAAAGAAACTACTAAATTATATACTTTAACATGGTGGATTTTATGGCATGTGAATTATATCTCAATAAAAAGTCATTTAACAACCATCCAATTTTAATTGTTAGCAAGATTCAAGAAGAAATATTAATTAGTCACATAAACTGCATTCATATTCAGTGGTCACAGGCTTGTAGGCAAGCTGCCAAATACCCACATATGTCTGGAATACTACCATGAATTTAATTAAGGCCCCAAAAGCTGTAGGAATTCTGAAGCAAGAGCCATTAGCATGAGTGGGAACAGAGTCAAAGACAGCCTCACAAATCCTTTCCCCTGGGTCACCTACCCTGGTGGGGGATGGGTCAGATACACCCGTGAGGATGTAACCTCTTCTATTCACCCATGCGGCTTACTACTTAGAGCCTCTCCGTGGCTGTAATCATGCACTCACTTTATCTCTGCTCCGTCCACAAAGTGAGCTGCCTGATGTCTGGGACTGGGGTTTATTGTCATCTTATTGTCAGTGTCTTATGTTTTGCCTTATACATACCAAGGGCTTGATAGTTGTTGACTTAAATCCACTAAGGCATTTCCAAAAGCAATATTGTATTATTTCAGGCATGCATAGGTATGTGAATAGCACAGCTTCCTTAATAACATGCACTTTTTTTGATTGTGAAGAGAATGGTAACTATTTGGAAGTTGTGCTTCTGTAGATAGTACATTGAGTATGTATGGTCAATGGAAAAAAGCTTAAGTTTTGGAAGCAGAGTTCTGATCTCTTCTCTGCCCTTTGCCATCTTTTTTATTATTGTTCAGGTTTTTTACCCCTTTGTAAGATTCAGTTTTCTGTTTATAAAATGGGATAATAATAATTACCTCCCAGGAGGATTTTGTAGGTTAAAGGATGATGATGATAATAACAATTACATATTGCACATTTTCTGTTAGCAAGTGGCCAAAAAAGTATATTGTGTTTGTCATCATTTTATTAGTGGTGGTATATGAGACTATTTTGGGAATTAAAAAGTCCTTTATTTGATCATGAGTTCTGCTGGGGATGAGGATATTTGACAAGCTGGACATACTTGGTTTGCATCAGCTTTGCTATCTTAATTGGCCTTGTGAAGCCACATTAATAGATGCGTTTCATCTTAACCTAATGGTGCTATTCTAATAACCTATTTATATTTTTTATTCTAGGATCTAAAGAAGTACCACTTCTACTATTGGTTTTGCTATCCTGCCCTCTGCCTTCCAGAGAGTTTACCTCTCATTCAGGGGCCAGTGGGTTTGGATCAAAGGTTTTCACTAAAACAGGTATCAACAAATAACCAAAATGCACAAAAAATTGGGTTGAATGTTCAAGAGTAGTTATCTAGTGCTTTCCAAAGACAAACAGGTACTTCTCTGGATGAAGAGGTGGTGACTGAAATCCTCCAAAGGTGGTACTAGGAGCAGACTTATTTAGAAAATGTTTGTAAAGTCATTTTTTTGTATATATATTTATATATATTTTGAGACTGGGTCTCACCCCCGTTACACAGGCTGGAGTTCAGTGGCACGATCATAGCTCACTGTAGCTTCAACTTTTCAGGCTCAGGTGATTCTCTCATCTCAGCCTCCTCAGCACCTGGGACTATAGGCATCCCACCACACCTGGCTAATGTTTGTCTTTTAACAGATATGGGGTTTTGCCATGTTGGCCAGGCTGGTCTTCAACTCCTGGGCTCAAGCAATCTACCTACCTCAACCTCCCAAAGTGCTGGAATTACAGGCATGAGCCACCCTGCCTGGTCTATAAAGTCATTTTGAAGATGTAGTGAACAGTAATTTTCCAGGTTTTCAGTGGTATTTGGTGAAATGCTAAGCCAGTAAGGGGAAATTATAGGAATATTTTGAAACACCGAAAGAATTTACCAAAATGTGGTCTTCATTTTCAATGTGGGGAAACATAAGGCAGTATACTCTGGGAACAAGTCTTTGAAACAAAACAGAAGGCATTCTCCGACCCTAGTACCAAGTTGCAAAGCTTTTCTACCTGGAGCGGTACATGCAGAGTTAGTCAGTGACATTTGGGATAGATAATAAGGTCATTAGAGATGGTTCCCAGAACAGCAGTTAAAATAATCAGGCTGGTAAAACAGAGACCCTAAACTAGAGAATTCTGATTGTTGTTAAAGCAAAGATTATGTGTCAAGATGATTTGAATTCATGAAACACATCAATCACTAAAGCCCTGGATACTGAAACCATCATTCAGGGAGCTTTCTTGGAGCTGTTCAGGGAGCAGCCATTATTGATTAAATTTTTTTTTTTTTTTATTTCGTACAAATCCAAGGTTGTGGTTTTGTGGAACTAATTTCCCAAGAAGAAATATAAGTGGGGAAAAAGGATTTTGGATGAGGATTGACTGCTGGCAGGTATGGGGTTTCTTTTATTGAGGACAAAAATGTTCTATAATTATTATTTCTGTGGTGGTTGCATAACCCTGTGAACATACTAAAAAAACAACACATTGCATTATGTACTTTAAATGGATGAATTGGGTCAGGCACGGTGGCTCACACCTCTAATGTAATTCCAGCACTTTGGAATGCAGAGGTGAGCAAATCACTTGAGTTCAGGAGTTCAAGACCAGCCTAAGCAATATGGTGAAACTCCTTCTCTATAAAAAATACAAAAAAGTTAGCCGGGCATGGTGGTATGTGCCCATAGTCCCAGCTACTCAGGAGGCTGAGATAGGAGGATTGATTGAGCTCAGGAGGTTGAGGCTGCAGTGAGCTGTAATTGCCTGGGTGACAGAGCAAGAAAGGCAGCTTGGAGCCAGAAGGAAGACACCTGTCTCAAAAAGTAATAAATGGGTGAATTGTATGGTATGTTAGTCATGTCTCAGTAAACCTGTTGAAGATTATGGAAAGGTTCAGGGTAAAATTCATCGGGGTAGATTCGTGTTGGATTATCATAGGAGAGAAAGAATGTTTGGTTACCTCTCTAAAACTCTGATTGACAGCTTAGGGAACCACCATGTTGTACCATAAAATGTCCCTTTGTGCTCCTAAGACACACACCACCATGCACCTGGAAAGCGTTATATAAAAGCTAAGTGGTATTATTTGGAGGCACTTCTATGTTCGTTTGCTGTAAGAGGAGTGTGATCAGTCATTTCCAGTCTTCTGGTTTTAAGGTACCTTTTATTTTGATTTAGTTTTTAGCTCAGAACTAGATATGTACTTTTCTAGAGAATCATGATGTGTTTTCTGTTTTCAGATTGAAGCATTAGAGTGTGCATATGATAATCTTTGTCAAACAGAAGGAGTCACAGCTCTTCCTTACTTCTTAATCAAGTATGATGAGAACACGGTGCTGGTTTCCTTGCTTAAACACTACAGTGATTTCTTCCAAGGTCAAAGGATGAAGGTCAGATAAACTTTGAGTATCATTTTATTATATAGTTTTTTTAAAAATCTGAAGTTCATGTTACAAGAGACCACTGCAAAAGTCAAACTTGTTTAGATTTCCTTAGCTTTCAAAGGATGTTAAGAACATTTCCTTATCTCTACCCTCTCCCACCCCTGCAGTTATCGAATCAGCTCCTCCAGGTTTTTCTAGCTCTACTACAGCTCAGAGTAATTTTGATACCTTACTCTTTTTTTTGTTTGTTTGTTTGAGACGGAGTCTCGCACTGTCGCCCGGGCTGGAGCACAGTGGCGCAAACTTGGCTCACTGCAACCTCCGTCTCCCAGGTTCAAGCAATTCTCCTGGTCAACCTCCCGAGTAGCTGGGACTATAGGTGCCCGCCACCACACCCGGCTAATTTTTTGTATTTTCAGTAGAGATGAGGTTTCACTATGTTGGCCAGGCTGGTCTTGAATGCGTGACCCACCTCAGCCTCCCAAAGTGCTGGGATTATAGGCATGAGCCACTGCGCCCAGCCAATACCTTACTCTCTATTAGTGCTAAAGTTATTTCCTTTTTCCCTCCTGATGTATTTTACCCTTATGTTTTAATTTTTATTCCCAGAACTACCTGTAGTTCAGGCCCCTCATATCACACTCCTGGACACTTAGAATCTTGTTTCCATCTTGCGCAACAGAACTATAGAAGAATCTCCCTTGAACTACCCACATGTAGTATATCATTCATTGACCAAGAGCCTAATAGTGTCTTCCTTCTGGCTCCAAGCTGCCTTTCCTACCTTATCTTCTACTATTTTCCTTATAAAGCATTGCTCCAGCTAATCTTATCTATTTTTCTCCAGAATCTCCATCCCCTTCCCATCAGATACACCTAAAACTTTTTTTGTATCTTTCTTTTTCTCATGTTGTATCATCTTCCTAAAACATATTCTACTTATGAAAACCCTAAGAAATTCTCTCTGTCCTTATTGAAATTCTATCTTCACTGTGAAGCATTTTCATGGTGTGGCCATATATGATCTATCCGTATCTGTAGTCATTGCATTTATTCCCTGATCCTCATTTGCAGGTCCAGTACCTTGTACAAATTTCTTTTTGTGCCATATTAGACTGTAAGCTCCAAGAGGGCAGGGCCCAAGTCTTATGAATTTGTCTCCGTATAGTGTCTAGTACTTGTCTGAGGCCCTCAATAAAATTCTTTTGAATGAATGAAAGAGTACTGTAAGTGTCTTTTAGAAGTGATCAGATATATAGGAAGTTGTCTTAGCTATACAGGAGACTATGAATTAAAAATAACAAAGATTTATGAGTGTTAGGAAGTTCTGAAATCAAATAGAATCATCTCCATAGCCATGTGAATATATCAGAGCTGAAAAAAGGGAAGCCTTTAACTGATGGTCTGGTTATTCTTTAGCCTGAACTTAGGATGACTTTTTTTTTTTAAAGCACATTTTAAAATCAACTACATTTACATTTTATTTTTCAGAGGAAGCCCTTTTTTTTTTTTTCCTTGTATTTTTAGTAGAGATGGGGTTTCACCGTGTTAGCCAGGATGGTCTCTATCTCCTGGCTTTGTGATCCGCCCACCTTGGCCTCCCAAAGTGCTGGGATTACAGACGTGAGCTACCGCGCCTGGCCCAGAGGAAGCTTTTTAAATTGAGGACTGAAGATTGAATTTTTATTAAAATTCTTTCCCCCAGGTGATTTCACAGAACCACAGCTAAATTAGTATAGCAGTAAGACCATTAATAGCTTAAAGTCCCATCTAGTGTGAAGTCCTGTTGTCATAGCAGGCAGGATTAAATGGCCTGTGTTTGGAAGTGACTGTAGGTCAGGTTATATGTGGTAAATAAGTGGTCCTCCCCAAAGTACAGCTCTACCAAAATAACAGTTTGAACAATGCTTTAAAATTAATTTAAAAGGGACTTCCACATACTTGCTCTTTCTATAATAACTCTGTGGAACAAGTGTTAGTTACTAACTGTGGTTAGTTAATTAGTATCTGCATTTTCTGTTTGAGACTCAAAGTCACACGACCACATTGTCTGATTACGAAGCCTATGCCCTTTCTTTTTGTTGTTGTTGTTGTTGAGGCAGAGTCTTGCTCTGTCACCCAGGCTGGAGTGCAGTGGCACGATCTCGGCTCACTGCAACCTCCGCTTCCCAGCTTCAAGCGATTCTCCTGCCTCAGCCTCCCAAGCAGCTGGGACTACAGGTGTGCACCATCATGCCCAGCTAATTTTTGTATTTTTAGTAGTGATGGGGTTTCACCATATTGGCCGGGCTAGTCTCAAACTCCTGACCTCGTGATCCACCCGCCTTGGCCTCCCAAAGTGTTGGGATTACAGGCGTGAGCCACTGTGCCCGGCCACAAGCCGATGCCCTTTATACCATTCCCTTGACCTTTGGGAAACTGCATAACTTTTCTTTGTATTAGTTTATCTGTTAAATGGTGGTATTGCCACCTCCTTTTGTGAGGATTAAACATGATAATGTGAATAAAATGCCGAGCACATGGTAGATGCTCAATGTTTCCACTTCCTTTATGTTTCAACAGCAGCATATTTTGAAAGACAGCAGATCTCTGGGGTCTCCTCTGAAGTGCTCTGGGGGATTCACCAGTGCCCTGTCCCTGAGTCTAACTGCCTGTCTGCTTGTCGGGTTCAGGCACATTGTCCTTCACTTGGTTACAGTTATATCTCAGGAAAGCCTGGAATTACTCAGCACATGTGATGAACACCTCCTTATGGGCCAGAAATTTTGAGATACAGTTGTACTTGTTCTCACACAACCCAAAGTCTTCTAGAGGAGAGGAGACATTGACCTGTGGAAAGTTCAGTAGAAATTCAAGTAATGGAAGATAAGTTCAAAATATTGATACACGTGGTACTTTGGTTGGTCGTCTATGCCTTATCTTATTCTAGAAAAGATCACCAGAAGCCTTAGAGCGTTTTGGCCTCATGGGAGTTTTATAGCCTTCATGCCGCCCTTCCTACCTGTGGCCCTGAATGTTCCTGTCTCTCCTCCGCACTGCTGTCCAAGTGTATTTTCTTTTTTTTTTTTTTGAGACAGAGTCTCGCTCTGTCGCCCAGGCTGGAGTGCAGTGGCCGGATCTCAGCTCACTGCAAGCTCCGCCTCCCGGGTTTACGCCATTCTCCTGCCTCAGCCTCCGGAGTAGCTGGTACTACAAGCGCCCGCCACCTCGCCCAGCTAGTTTTTTGTATTTTTTAGTAGAAACGGGGTTTCACCGTGTTAGCTAGGATGATCTCGATCTCCTGACCTCGTGATCCGCCCGTCTCGGCCTCCCAAAGTGCTGGGATTACAGGCTTGAGCCACCGCGCCTGGCCCAAGTGCATTTTCTAACGTGTAAATTTGATCATATAACTCTTCTACTTAAAACCCTTCTAAGGTTCCTGTTGACTTCAGGATAACGTTGAAACTACTTAGCTTGGCATTTGAGGTCTGTTCCGTTCTGGTTCCTGTCCATCACTAGCCTCATTTTATATTTCCCAAGATACATCCTGTGCTCTGGCTACCCCTGTGTCCTCCAAATGCCACATGCTTTCCCCCCATCTCTCTGCCTTCGGATATCTCTCTGTCTCCCTTCTGTCACCTGGCAGCTGCCTCACCTACCCTTCTGATTCATCATCCCAGGATGCACTGGCTGGCTGATTGCACCATTTCATGTCTCTCTTCTGTGTTCTGGTAGCAGCCTCCCTGCTAGCACTGACTGGTCTCCAAAGTAATTGTTGATTCACTTTTCTGCCTGCCCCATATCCCCAGCCTGTCAGCAACTTTAGCACTGAATCTTGTTTGTCCCCACTGTGCATCCTCAACATTTAGTGCAATGCTGGACACTTAAGAGACACATGATGCGAGAATGCTGAGAGGAGAGAGACAGAATTGTGAACTGGTATGAAAATTAAAGAAGGCTTTTGCCGGAGGCAGGGTCGAACCCTAGAGAAATAATTTCTAGACATCATTTTCAGTGGTTCTTGCTTTTATTGCATTAACCTCATTCACTCTCTTTAGCATAATGCCAGTTTCCCTTTGAGCCATGACATTTCCTTGAAGGTTTTCACCCTCTTTTTTCAAAAATAGGCATTCTTTTCAGTATGAATTCCTGCACTTGTGCTCTGGCTTCATGTTTTACTCAATTCTGCCCCCTCCTCCTCCCACCAGCACTTTGTTCCCTAAAAAGTCACTGCTTCTCTTTGAGCCCTGTGTCCTCATGTGTAGGATGGAGAAATATTGGAATCCCTCTGAGTTTCTGTCTTCCACCTGTTTCTCTTCTGGGTTATCTCATTGTGCCTGCAACGCCAGAAACCATTTCCTCCCAAGTAATTCAGTTTCTCCCACTAGCCTGAACCTCCCTCTGGACCCCGGACCACATTATCCAGCTGCCTGCTTGCCTCCTTCTGTACCGTATAATCTTTGTCCCAAGGCTGGTCCTGGCTGGGCGCGGTGGCTCAAGCCTGTAATCCCAGCACTTTGGGAGGCCGAGACGGGCGGATCACGAGGTCAGGAGATCGAGACCATCCTGTCTAACACGGTGAAACCCCGTCTCTACTAAAAATACAAAAAACTAGCCGGGCGTAGTGGCGGGCGCCTGTAGTCCCAGCTACTCGAGAGGCTGAGGCAGGAGAATGGCGAGAACCCGGGAGGCGGAGCTTGCAGTGAGCCGAGATCGCGCCACCGCACTCCAGCCTGGGTGACTGAGCAAGACTCCGTCTCAAAAAAAAAAAAAAGGCTGGGCCTTTTCTGGCTTCACTGGCTCAGAATGATGCTGCCTCTATCCAGTCACACGAGCCAGAAATCTGGTCATCCTACCGGACAGCTGTCTTCCCCCTACCACCCCTGTGTCTTGTGGATTTCATGTCTTGAATGTCTCTCAGCCTGCCACCTTGCATTTCTTCTGCCACCACCTCAATCTCTGCTATACTGCAGTAGCTTCCTAACAAGCCTCCTTGTATCTACTCTGGGCCTCTCCAGTTCATTCCC